GAAGGTGAATTTGTGAATCTGTTTGCAGATAAGATATGCATGCCTCAGCCTCTCAAGTAGTGCGTAGCTCATAGGCGTGCAGCACCGTGCCAGAACTTTAAGTCAGCAAAAAGAAACTGGTTCATGCAACCATTTCCTCCTCTTCACAGGATGTGATTGACACAGCGTGTGAAGTCCTGGCAGACCCTTCTCTTCCGGAGCTGTTCTGGGGAACAGTAAGTATGTTGTAGGGCCTTGTGCTGCGACAGTGTGTAGAGCGGTGGTTCTCAGCCCTCTCATACAGCTCCTCCTGTTGTGCTGGCCTACAACTGGATTAGGTTGTTCTCGTCAGACTTTCTTTGGATTACCAGTCCCCACATAATGAAAGAGAGACTTTTTAATTAGGAAAGCTTGACCTTAGCTCAGGCTTATTTTTAACTATCTCTTATAACTTAAATTAACCCATTTCTATTATTCTACATTGCCACATGGCTTTTTACTGCTCCTCAGTTCTGTACCTGACTCTATCCCTGTCTCCCTGGTGAAATCACCCCTCTTCCTTACCAAGTCCCTCTCTGTCTGGGGGTCCCACCTTTTCTCTCCTGCCTAGCTATTGACTGTTCAGCTTTTTATTAAATCAATCAGGGAGCGATGACTCAGCCATTAGGAGCACTGACTGCTCTTCCAGAGGACCTGGGTTCAATTTCCAGCACCCACCTGCTGGCTCCCAACTGTCTGTAACTACAGTTTCAAGAGAACCGACACCCATACACAAGCATACACACAGACAAAACACCAATGCACATAAAAATAAAATTAAATAAACCAGTCAGGTGCTTTAGGCAAGATAAAACAGCAACACGTCTTCACACAGTAAGATAATATCCTGCAATATCCAATCATAAAATTATTTTCATTGTTACTTTATAATTAATTTTGTTACTGTTATAAATTGTAATGTGAAATGTCTGTTTCTGATGGTTTTAAGTGACCCCTATGAAAGGGTCATTTGACACCCCCCCCCCCAAAGGTATTGTGACTCACAGGTTGAGAACTGCTGCTCTAGAGCAAACAGAATAGTCAAAACATTTGTGATAAGTTTTAGAGTTAATATTTGGAAGTTTAGGGTCCAGCTGCTAAGTTTCTTTTCATTTGTATCCCAGCTAGGTTGATCTGTTTATATGGCTTATGTCCGCCATCCAGAGCCACTGCTAACTCCTTGAGATGCTGTTATAAACCATGTTAAATTGGGCATCTGTGTTGCTTGTGTGTGCTGGCTAAGTGTTGACATGGCTTGAGGTAGTTCTAACTTTAATAGAAGCATAGCGGAAGGAGTTACGTTGTCTGCCTAGAGAAGGGGTGGCCAGGAGGAGAGAACTGGGTAGACAAGCAATCTCTTCAGGTCATGGATACTTTTATATCTTTTTTTCAGTGGAATATGAAGGTCTTATGTTATTAAGAAATTGTTGTATATCTATGTAAAGGAAAGGTTATTGCTAGATTTTTTTTTTAAAGATGTGAACTTAAAAAAATTTTTTTTTTTTTTTTTGCCAGGTGGTAGTGGTGCACACCTTTATTCCCAGTACTGGGGAGGCAGAGGCAAGCAGATCTCTGTTTGAGGCCAACCAGTTCTATAGAGCAAGTTCTAGGACAGTCAAGGCTACACAGAGAAACCCTGTCTCAAAAACCAAAAGAAAAAGAAAAAAGAATTTTTAAAATTTTTGTTTCATTTGTGTGGATGTTATGTCTGTACACATCATGCAGCCTGTAGAGACCAGAAGAGGATGTTGGGTACTGGGATGGGGTTAGAGACCACTGAGCTGCCATGTCAGAGCTGGGTCTGCTGGAAGAGCAGTCAGTTTCTAACTGCCGAGCCATCCCTGCAGCCTCTCTTTCTAGATTTTGTTAGTATTGCTGGGCACTTGTGAAGAGGGATGACTTCTTCCTTTCCACCTCAGGAACCAACCTCTGGTCTTGGCATCATTCTGGACAGCGTGTGTGGGATGTTCCCCCATCTCCTTTCCCCACTTCTACAATTGCTGCGAGCCCTTGTGTCAGGAAAGTCCACCGCCAAAAAGGTGAGTGCTTTAGTCAGATCTCTGAAGGGAAGCCAGAGGTCTACTGTGACTCCTGGGTGCACTCTACATTGGAGTCCACTGCCAGGAAAAATGTTGTCTGAAACTGAATGAAAGATGCCAATTCATGGTGCCACCTCAGCTCCGTGTTTACATAAAAATGTTTTCACTAAGTCCTATTGGAGGTGCCATGAGAATAAGTGTGCATTTGCCTGATACCTGCTTGGGAAACAACAGTAGATTTATGAGATGGGTAATAAATGTGAGGAAGTGCTTTGTGCTTAGTGCCTCCCCATCTTCTGTAAGCCCTGATTTTGATTCCCAGCATTGGAGTGGGTGAGAAATGAAAGAGAAAGGAGATGCAAGCAGAGAGAGACAACCGCACGCGTGTGTGTGTGTGTGTGTGTGTGTGTGTGTGTGTGTGTGTGTGTGTGTGTAGGTAGTAAGGGGAGCTTGGGTTAGTTAAAGAATGGCAAGGCTTAACTGAGAAGAGCAGGAGGCAGTTCCAACAAGAGCCTGAGTAGAGTCTGGGAGAAGTAGTTTAGGGGACAAGCACATGTGGTCTGGCTTTAAAAAACTGACATGGAACCCTTTTTTCTCATGAATGAGTATATGACTGTGTTTCTTCCTGGGTGTTGGCAGGTATACAGTTTCCTGGATAAAATGTCCTTCTACAATGAACTTCATAAGCACAAGCCCCATGATGTGCTCTCTCATGAAGATGGAACTCTCTGGCGGAGGCAAACACCTAAACTCCTGTACCCTCTAGGTAAGACAGAGATGCTCTGCAGTAGCCCTTCTTCAGAGCATCCAGTCAGACCTAATGTTGGCTGGATCTTTTCACGTGAAGTGCCCCATTCCTTCTCTTCCCACTCCTGTCATTTGTTGACAAAAAAGTTCGTCTTGCAGTGCTGAGCTTGTTTATATGGTGGATTACGTTGACAGATTTTCGTATGTTGAACCATCCCTGCATCTGTGGGAAGAAGCCAACTTGGTCATGGTGGATGATGGTTCTGATGTGTTCTTGGATTCGATTTGCTAGTATTTTTTTTTTTTTTTTTTTTTTTAGTATATTTGCATCAGTGTTCATGAGTGAGACTGGTCTATAATTCTCTTTCTTAGTATTGTCTTTCTGTGGTTTGGGTATCAGGGTAATTGTAGACTCATAGAAAGAGTTTGGCAATGTTCCCTCTGTTTCCATTATGTGGAACACTTTGAGGAGTATAGGCATTATTAGCTCTTCTTGTAAGTTTTTGTAGACCTCTGCACTAAAACCATCTGGCACTAGGCTTTTTTTGGTTGGGAGACTTTTGATGAATGGTGTTAAGATTTTAAATTGGGCTGACTATTGTGGAGGTAAAGTGAGTTTGAGACCAGTTTGTGACATTCTACAGAACTAGTTATAGGATAGCCGGGACATAGAAAGACCCTGCCTCAACGGGAAAAAGAAAGACTGGATTAGCAAACTGCATGGAAGAGATTGACATCCTAGAATTTCTGCCTCCAGTTGAGTGGGGAATTTTGGGAGATAGTGTAAGTTCTTCACTGACCCAGCAACATCATATGTATTAAGTCTCAGGCGTTAACACTTGCTTTTCTTTACTACTGGACACCGAGGTAGTTATTGTTCTGAAGGGATTCCTGCCTCTCCTCTGCACTCACTGAAATAGTATTATGTCTGTCCTATCCTGGACATACCCTACAGCTATAGTAATTACAGTCTCCACTGCCTTTTACTAAGCCAGTGAGCCTCCCAATTCTCTGCTGTGAGGCCCAGTATGCAGGTAGGGTGAGAACAGCTTGTACAACAATGTACAAGGCTAGTACTTGGAAAGACTCAAAACATTATTTTGGCAATTTAGTTCTTTTTTTTTTTTTTTTTTTTAAGATTTAATTTATTTTTTATGTAGTGTTCTGCCTGCAGAGGTCACCAGATCTCTTTATGGATGGTTGTGTGCCACCATGAGCTTGCTGGGAATTGAACTCAGGACCTCTGGAAGAACAGCCAGTGCTCTTAATCACTGAGCCATCTCTCCAGCCCTGGCAGTTTAGTTCTTGCTTTTAGAGTATTCCATGGAAATTAGTCAAAATGATGGTCTTTAGGTTCGGCCTTAAAATATTTAGAGATCACTTGTTCTGTAAACCTTCCTGGTACTGGAGAGGTGATTCATTGATTAAACACGAATTGTGCTCTTCCAGAGAATGCCTTGGTACATGTAGAGGGGATGATAAAATGGTTTCTGTGTGACTTGTCTTGGTTGTATGCCCTCTGCTATGATCTTCTTTAAGGACCAGCCACTGTCTCAGGCATCATCTTTGTCCTCATCTATGGTCCTCTTCATTGTTTTGCCATTACAAATAATAATGCATTGGATATATGGACACACAGATGTTGGAGTTTCATTTTCAGTAAACAGTAAAAGAATCCTCAACATGAGATGGTTAGGTGAAAGGATGTATATAAAAGTTTTTAAATAGATGCTTGAAAGGTAAACGTGCTATATACTTAAGGTAGAATTTTGTCATAGAGTGTGACTCAGCGGTAGCACATGTACTGACACGTATAGGCTGCAAAATATGTAAACCCTGAGGCCGGCTTCTTAAGAGAAATACACCAGTCACAAAGCACAAATTGTGGGTGGTTTTATAAATATTTACATATATGGTTTTTGTTTTGAGACTAGGTATTATTTTGTAGCCCAAACTAGATTCCACCTTGAGGTGCTCTACCTGCCTTGGCCTCCTGAGCGAGTACTGGGATTAAAGTAGCACCTGCCACATCCCTGTTGTGTCATTCTTCTGTTTTGAGGTCCTTCAGGATAGACAAACCAAGACAGAAAATACAGCTCTGATTGCAGAACTGAGAGCTAGAGAGAATAGCGAATTACTGGTGAGTGAGAGCAGAAGGGGAAGCCATAACCCAGTGTGAGTGTGCTCACTGCTGCTTTGGTGGACACTTGATGCATACGATGAGAAATTTGATGGTAAGTGTATTTTACCACAACTTAAAATTTTTTGGCACAGTTGCAGACCCAGCTACTTGAAAGATTTGAGACTAAAGTAAATTGAGTTCAATACCAGCATGAGCAGGACTGTGAGAGCTTGTCTCAAAAAAAATTAAGGCTGGAGAGATGGCTCAGTGGTTAAGATAAGAGCACTGGCTGCTCTTCCAAAGGTCCTGAGTTCAATTCCCAGCAACTACATGGTGGCTCACAGCCATCTATAATGAGATCTAGTACCCTCTTCTGGCCTGCAGGCTCACATGGAAGCGATGTTATATACATAATAAATAAATAAATCTAAGAAAATTATTTAGTTTGTGTGCATACACATAAGCATGTTTGTGGATGTCAGAGGACAGCTTTGGATATTGGTTCTCTCTTTCCATCGTGTGGGTTCCCAGATGTCAAATTTGGGATATTATACTTGGCAGACAGTATGTTTATCTGTTGCTCTGGTTTTTTAAGATTTGGGATAAGCCAGGGGTGGGGACACAGAGTTTCCTTTAATCCCAGCACTCAAGAGGCAGAGGTGGGTGGATCTTTGTGAGTTTGAGACCAGCCTGGTCTATATAGTGATGCCCTGTCTCGAAAAAAAAGAAAGAAAAAATGGGTAAAAATTTGGGGGTGAGATGTCAGTTCCCAGGATGGTCTTAAAAGCATTGCATTCCTTCTGCTTCAGCCTCAAAAGTCTGAGATTCAGGTGTGTGGCTAGCACTGCCATCTTTTATCATTTGAATGTAAAAATCGTAAGAGTGTTGTCTGCTAGAGTTCCTGTCTGCATGTGCTGAGTAGTGTTGTCTATAGAAGAGTCACCTCTCACATTTGTATTTGGAGTATAGTAATTTCTCTTCCATAGGGGGTCAGACCAACCTTCGAATTCCTCAGGGCACCGTGGGCCAAGTCATGCTGGATGATAGGGCTTACCTTGTACGCTGGGAATATTCCTACAGTAGCTGGACTCTCTTCACCTGTGAGATTGAAATGCTACTCCAAGTTGTCTCCACGGCAGGTAAGTTCAGCTTTTTGTGAGCGAGTGATGGGAAGAATGTGTTTGATTGCAAGATTTGAAGACTAATCGCAACTTCACAATAAAATTTAAATTTAAAAATTTTAAAATTTAAAGCTATCTGGCTTGGGGTCTGTGGGATTTGTTTATCTGGGTCTTAAACTGCACTCAGTGATCTTTTTATAGAGTTCTGTGCCAAGAAGTCACAGGCCATCTTTCCCCACAGATGTGATCCAGCATTGCCAGCGGGTGAAACCTATCATTGACTTGGTTCACAAGGTCATTAGCACAGACTTGTCCATAGCGGACTGTCTGCTGCCCATCACATCTCGTATCTACATGCTACTGCAGCGGTGAGTCCCTGTGGTTGGCAGAACTTCAGCAGTGATTCTCTTGCTTTCTAGGAACCTGGCTGTGAGCTCTTCTGTGAGAGGCCTTTAGGGGTAGCTCTCCAGCTGCAGGCTTTCCTGGTCCTTAAAGAGGCACGTGGAGAGAACTGGAAACTGCTTGTTATTTGTTTTACTGAATGCAGTGCTTTGTTCTCCAACTAGGTTGACAACAGTAATCTCCCCTCCTGTGAATGTCATTGCTTCTTGCGTCAATTGCTTAACTGTCTTGGCTGCTCGGAATCCAGCAAAGGTGCGATGCCAAGTCTTTCTAACAGCTAGGGAGTATCACATTTGGAGTATGCGTCTTGAGGCATGTGGATACCTAATTTCTTCTTTTGCCTTCTCAGGTCTGGACTGATCTTCGTCACACAGGCTTTTTGCCATTTGTGGCCCACCCTGTCTCCAACATGATTCAGATGATTAGGTGAGCCAGGTCCTGAGTGGGTAGACTTAATTCCCTACTGTGAATCATTCCTAGTCAGGCCTAGCCTGGCTTTATTCATTTTAAAGAAGCTTCTATCCTCTTGACCTTGAGGGTGAGTGAGCATAAGGGAAAACAGCCTGGGTTAAGAACTGCTCTTCTCACAGGGCACACTGGTGACTCACGGGTTTTGTTTTGTTTCTGAGGTAGAGTTTCACTGTGTACCCTTGACTGACCTGGAACTTGCTGTGTAGACCAGGCTATCCTCGAATTAACAGAGATCTGCCTGCCTCTGCCTCCCGAGTACTGGGTGGTTCAGTTTTAACCTTTGAGAAATAGAATGAGGCTTTCCTCATTCAGCTGCAGCTGCTTTAGCTATGTGGGCATCTACTTTTCAGCTGAGACACTCCAGGGGTCTTTGGATCCGGAGACTTGGTGTTCTATTCTCAAGTGCAGTCAGTGTGCTTTTCCTCCAGCCTGAGGGTATGTGAGCAAGGCCCGTCACTGAGACACAGGCACCATTTACTACTGAGCATGCTCACCTCATTCTCTGCCTAGATGACCAGTGTTTCCCTAATGACTCATTTGATTTTTCGTTCTAAACCTCTTGGAGTTGGACGTCAATAAAACGTGATCTTTAAATTACTCCTTGGCTATAAAATTGCCTATATTTGATTATTTCTCTTTGAGAGCTTTTATGTTTTATGCTGGAGCTGTCTAGACAATAACTGCATAATCAGTTTCTTTTTTTATAATTTATTTTATTTTTATAATCTCTTAACCTTGACCATTGCTCATTATTTTATCTGCCTCTGTCTGTTCCTAGTGCGGAGGGAATGAATGCTGGAGGGTATGGCAACCTTCTGATGAATAGTGAACAGCCCCAGGGCGAGTATGGAGTCACAGTTGCCTTTCTTCGCTTGGTCACCACTCTTGTCAAGGTACCATCTGACCGGATAATTCTGGAACAGCTCCTCTGTTACCTGCTGCTGTAGCCTTCTTATCTGTATATAGGATAGCTGTTTTGAAGTTATGGAGCCTCAGCTTCTATGGATTGAGAGTCTGTGCCCTCTGTTCCTTGGTACTTGCTTGATGGTGTGGGTTTGTTTAGTAATCAGAAGCTTGTAGTGAAAGTTGAGAACTCCGTGTCCATGGCGGTGCGTGTTAAGCTATTTTAACTGTCATCTATGTACACTTATATCTTGTCCTATTGTATGCCTGTATGCATGCTTCACAAGTCTAGATTTATGGCTGAATACTTTATACATAATAAATAAATAAATCTTTAACAAAAAAATGGTTAATTCCAGTTTCTGGAATTAATCAGCACTATTAGAAGAGAGAATTGGGGGCATCAGTGCTCCACTCTAGTGTTTCATAATAGTTGAGATTTGGGTGTGGGTGACAGATCATTGGCAATCAGTGGCTTTCTTTGTTGTTGACTGTTCTGCATCTTTGGGGATTAGAGTACCTCTGTCTTTTCAGACTAAACTCTCTTCCTGCTACTTCAGGTGATATTGTCACCTTGCCTAAAATAGTTGTTTTCTCTGTTCACCGTATAGGTTCAGTTGAAGGAGGTATTTCTGATGTCTCCTTCTCTTGTTGATCACTGTTTTCCTAGTTCTCTTTTGGACCTGTTTGTGTTTTTGACATTAAATCTTGAGTAATAAAGAATCCTTTCTTACATGGCCAAGGCCCTCACAGAATGCTTTCCCATAGGGACAGCTTGGCAGTACCCAGAGCCAAGGCCTGGTGCCATGTGTGATGTTCGTGCTGAAGGAGATGCTTCCCAGCTACCACAAATGGCGCTACAACTCCCATGGTGTGCGGGAACTGATTGGTAAGGACAGTGTGGGTGTTCTGAAGATCTTTCCCTCCCTTTGATGAGGATTATCAACACAAGGCTGCATCATTGCATGTCTTTTTTGGAGTCTAGGTTGCCTAATTCTGGAGCTGATTCATGCAATTCTGAACCTGTGCCAAGAGACAGACCTGCATAGCAGGTAATGGTGATTGTGGACTCAGGGAAAACACTGTGTTGTTGTTTCAAGCCCTCTCATTTCTTCCCAACATCTCACCTTAGTTGAATCCTGTCTTAGCTAGGATTTCTACCACTGTGATAAAACACCATGTCCAGAAGCACCCTGGAGAGGAAAGACTCCACATTTTATAGTTCATTACTGAGGAAAGTCAGGGCTAGAAAGTGGAGGCAGGAGCTGATGGAAAGCCTATAAAGGAACACCGCTTACTAGCTTGTTTATCCTTCTTTCTTATACACCCAGTACCACCTGCCCAGAGATGCTCCCATCCATAATGGGCTAGGCCCTGCCACAGAAACCACTAATTAAGAAAATGCCCCACGGGCCAATCTTGTGGGGACATTTTCTCAGTTGAAGTTCCCTCTTCTCAAATGACTAGCCTTAATCAAGTTGACATAAAAATTAAGTGACACAAATCCAATGCTCATTCGTCTTCTCTTATGATTTACTGTCCATTGACTCAGTTGTCAATTCTTCCCTATGGACAGAAAAGGACAGATGAAGGTGCATGTATCTAAACACATAATCATTGATAATTATCATTATAAAAATTCATAAGCAGGACGGTGGTGATACACACCTTTAATCCAGCCCTTGGGAGCAGCCTGGTCTATGAAGCGAGTTCCAGGACAGTCAGAGGTGTTACACAGAGAGACTCTGTCTCAAAAAGAAAGAAAAGAAAAGAAGAGAAGAGAAAGAAAATGGAAAGTCTTATGTGGTACGATGTGCCTCCTCCAAGATGCCTGTTACTAAGTCTGTACAGATTCCAGGCTTTTCTGCTCTATAATTTGTTTCTGTGTCCTCCCTTGTCTCTCATACTTAATCATTCCTGAATTATTTCGGTAAATACATCCATTAGTTGATGGGTGTTTAGTTCACTTTTCAGGTGGTCTTTAGGATCAAGTCTGAGGAAAGTGTTCAGAATATTTCCTTTTGCCATTCCATAATCTTCCTCAGCTCTGTCCAGTAGGCTAGGACCCTTCTGATTAAGAGCGCCGAAGCTCCTAGTAACTGAGAACCCTCTGTCTTGCAGCCACACACCCAGCCTGCCATCCCTCTGCATCTGCAGCCTGGCGTATACAGAAGCTGGACAGACAGTCATCAGTATCATGGGGATTGGTGTGGACACCATAGATATGGTGATGGCTGCTCAGCCCCGCAGGTAGGGCCTCCTCTGTGCCTCTCCTGTTGGTCTTCAAGGTACCCTGCGTTTTCTAAGAGCTCCATCTTAGCTTAACTTATAGTTACTGTTTGTTTTCCTCATTTTTTCTTTTCAGACTAAAGTATAATTACATCATTTTCCTCTTTCTCTTTGCTCCCTCCAATTCCTTCCATGCCCTCTCCTTGCACTCCTTCAAACTGATGGTCTGTTTTTTTTTTTTTGTTGTTGTTGTTACATGCACACACACACAAAGCATGTGCATAAATACAAATTGCTCAGTATGTTTGGTGTTGCTTACATGATTTCAAGGCTGACCAGTTGGTGTTGGATAGTCAGTTAAGGGGCTAATCTCTGGGAAAGACCACGTCTACTGCTCTTAGCATTCCTTACTTACCTGTAGTTCTTTGTTTAAGCCTGGAGCCCTATGAGATTTCCTCCTTCCCTTCCTTACCCTGTCTATTGGTGTTGTATCCCTTCAGGTCTTGTTTAGGCAGCCATATTGGGATATCAGGAGTGAGGTGTCATTTCATTTCTTGAAGACACACTCTCGTAACAGCTTTTCTTAAAAACTGCTGTTTCATAACAGCAGTTTCTTTTTCACAATAACTTTGTGGGCTGGAGAGATGGTTTATCGTTAAGAACACTGGTGGCTGCTCTTCCAGAGACCCTGAGTTCAATTCCCAGCAACCATATGGTGGCTCACAAGCATCTGTAATGAGATCTGGTGCCCTCTCCTGGCCTGCAGGCAGATGTGCAGGCAGCATACTGCATACATAATAAATAAATAAAAAAAAATTTTTTTTTTTAAAGCACTGTGTATTTCTTAGGCTGTAGCTAGTGGCTGCTGCATAGCCTCTTCTCTTTCCTGTTCTGGACTGGGGCCCCTAGAAGCTGATGTCATGTCTGATTCTTGGAAATACACATGCTGTGAGTGAAATCATGTCTCAGTTATCTGTGATTTTTCCATTTGCACCCTAGTGATGGGCCAGAAGGTCAGGGCCAGGGTCAACTGCTGATCAAGACAGTGAAGCTGGCGTTCTCTGTCACCAACAATGTTATTCGACTGAAACCTCCTTCTAATGTGGTGTCCCCCCTGGAACAGGCTCTGACACAACATGGTATGTATTTCTCTTCCTCAGCTACATTGTATACCTTAGTTTTGGACATCAGAAGTTGTTCTCAGCTCATTTCCTTAGACTTGGAAACAAGGGAACTGTACCATACTTTATTCTGCCTTCCTGTTGATGACATAGTGATGCTTAAGGATGAAGAATGGACATTGAAGTCAGGTTTCCTTGGTTCAAATTTAGGTTCAGCCAGCTGTGAAAACCTCAGGCATATGTATGTTCTGCCTCAGACTTCTCATCCAACATGGCATAGTGGTAAATTCCTGCAATTTCAGCGTCCTTGGAAGATGAAGGCAGGAATATAAGGCCAGCTAGGGCTACCTAACGAGTTGAGTTCTGGGCCGCCCTGATAACTAGAGTGTGAGACTGTATCTAAAGAAACGATTTCTTAGCTGGCACAGCCCTGATAGGAGAGGATGGAGGTGAGTGGATAACTGAACAGCATCACTGACCGCGCTCGTGCCTGTGCTCCCAGCACTCCAGAGGCAACTGCTGGCCAAGGCAGTGAGGCTGGTATTCTCTGTCACCAGTTCCTGACCACCTGATTTGTATAGCAAGACCTCTCAAAAGAAACAAAGGCCATGAAAAAACAAGCACACACAAAAAACCTTTAGAACACATTGGCTCATATCGCAGTGTGACTTTAAATTGTTTAATCTGGGGCTGGCGAGATGGCTCAGAGGTTAAGAGAACTGACTGCTGTTCCGGAGGTCCTGAGTTCAATTCCCAGCAACCACATG